AGGAGGCCCTCCCCCTGCAGGGGGTGGGGGGTGGGGTAAAGAATCGTTTTCTTTCTAGCTTTTGTCTCTGGTGCTGCAGTGGGTCTGAGCCACCTCTGGAACATCCATCCAGCTCTTTTCTGAACTTTCCTATCGAACCACAGCTGGTTTGGGGGGGTGGAGGGAGGGAGATTTGACCCCCACCTCCATCAGGTGTCGCACAAAGAAAGCAACACAATCTATGTGTGTGAAACAGTAGAGTGGAACAATGTCCCTTTGTCCAGTGGCTGAGTCCGGCTCTGCTCTCTCCGTTTGCAGGCTGTCCTTCTACTCCGGCCACTCGTCTTTCTCCATGTACTGCATGCTGTTCCTGGCCGTAAGTATCCCCCCCCACCCCCACCGAAAAGATGGAGCTCGCTTAGTGTAAAGGATAAAAATCAGGAAGAGTGGAAAGCCAAACCCAGAGTCTCTCATTTAGGGACAAAAACCACTCCAAAGCCTGTCTCTGTTACAGAATATACAGAATAATAACAGAATATTCTTATTTGACCATCACAGGATGATAAAATTAGCTTAAAATGGTGGGTTTCGTGCCGCCCGGCCACAGCCTGATTCTCTCCAAAGCGACTTATTAAGAGTTAACGGCAATAATTCCAATTCCCGCTGATCCGGTGGCTTTCATTTACTCTTTAAAGGTCATTCCTGTTCAAATGTGCTTCATTCAATTGGGACAAGCCGCACTTTGTTCTGAGCCGTTTCACTGTTCGGCCCTGATAAACTTTGAGCTGCTGATTATTTCAGTACAGGCAGATATAAATAGGAGCGGGGACAAAGTCCCTCCCCGGTGAGGAGTGGAAGCTCAAACAGGCAAGGCCAGTTTTTTTTTTTTTTTAAACGGCATTTGCATCGCTTTTATTAGCATAAAGGGACAGATCTTGGGGGGTGGGGTGAGTACAAACCTCTTGGCTTTGAAAAGGGCCACGCCCTGTTTTAGTACAAACAAACACGGTGTGGTTTATGACTCAGGTTATCCACAGCCGTCGGCCTGTTTTTGTCTTTTGTTTTAAATGTCCCTTTTAAATGTCCCTTCTTCCCCTCATACATAATGTTCACAATGTACGAGAAGATATACAATATACAAATAACACAACTACCGAAACTACATCTAGTTAAGCGACAACAGTATGAACATATTTCAGTATGTGTGACGCATTGAAGATGCGGGCTACTTGGACTTTTGTTGGTTTTCTGGCACAAAAGGGTGTTTGATAACCTC